AAACGTGGCATGTCTTTCTATTTATTTACATATTCTTTAATTTCTTTCAACAATATTATGTAGTTTTCACAGTATAAATTTTGCCCTTCTTTGGTTAAATTTATTCCTAGGTATTTTATTACTTTTGATAATATTGTAAATGGAATTGTTTTCTTAATTTCATTTTCATATTGTTTGTTGCAAATGTATAGAAATACAATTGATCTTTGTATATTGATCTTATATCCTGCTTACTGAACTTATTTATTAGTTGTAATAATTTTTCTAGTGGACTTCTTAGGGTTTTCTATACACAAAATTACATAATCTGGAAATAAAGGTAGTCTTACTTCTTTGTTTATATCTGTATGCCTTTTATTTCATCTTCTTGTCTAATTGCCATGGCTAGAACTTCCACTACAATATTGAATTAGAAGTTGTGGGAGTTGACATCCTTATCTTCTTCATGATCTTACAGGGAAGGTATTCAGTTTTTCACCATTATGTAAGATGTTAGCTGTGGGTTTTTTGTATATGTATATGCCCTTTATCAGGTTAAGAAAGTTCCCTTCTATTTCTAGTTTGTTGAATGTGATTATCATGAAACACTTCGATTTTGCCCAAGTGCTTTTCCTGCATCTATTGAGATGATCATGTTTTCATTTTTCCCTTTATTCTAGTGATATAATGGATTACATTAATTGACTTTCAGATGTTAACCCAATCTCGAATTCCTAGGACAAATTCCACTTGGTCGTGGTGGATAATCCTCAGAGGGTGCAGCCTTGGGCATATGCACAGTCACCCTGGGATGACAGTGGTTTTAGGAGGACTCTCTTTGACTGTCCTTTTCCCTGATCACATTCAGCTGTCAGGCCACACTAGTTGCCAGATGACTTCTCTATTGTTTTTGACAATGCCTTGGGGCATAAATTGCTCCACAGTCTAATCCAATTAAATTCAGTCTCCTTTACAAGCTAGTTTTTGATGTCAGTGTTTGAAGTGTGTTCTGACCCCAGGAGGGCTCTTCTTAGCTGTCTCCTTCCCAGGCTTTCTCTGGTAACCTATCTGGCCTACTGTTTAGCTTGTATCTCTCATAAAGCTACTACCCGTTAGCCCATTGCCTCAGGTTAATAATTCAGACTCATGGCAACACCATGTGTTACAGAGTAGAACTGAGCTCCATAGGGTTTTCTTGGCTGTAATCTTTATGGAAGCAGATCACCAAGATTTCCTCCGAGGCCCTGCTGGGTGGGTGGGTTCGAAACACCAACCTTTCCGTTAGTAGACAAGCGCAAAAATATTTGCGCTACCCAGGGACCCTCATAAAGCTGCTACAGCTCCTCTTAATTGCTTACCACAAAAGCTTCCATTGTTGTTGAGAGCACCCTTAGGCTTGGACTTCCCTATACTCTGTTTTAAATAAAATCAGTTCCTTTGGGGAGCAATTCAGAGCTATCTGTTCTTAAAGCCAGCCTCTCCCCCTGGGGAAATATCTCTGAGCCATGGCTCCAGAGAAGAACAGGGACAGTGCCCCATCTCACCCCTGCTTTAGGAACAGGGCACTGGGTGGGGTGTTAACTTCTGGTCTTATCAGTTTGTCTCTTCTGGCATGAATCCTCCACCCGACTGGGGCCAGGGAGATCAGGACCCAGTATTCTCAGCATGCAACACCTGAGCGAGAGCCTCTGCCCTAGGAGTGGGGCCTGGGTGGAAGGGAGTGCCTGACCTTCTACAGCACTTGCCTGGAATTTATCCTCTGTAAGGGATAGCTGGGAGGGAGATGAGAAATGCTGGTGGCCTGCCCCTCCTGGGAAGATACAATAGCCTTGACTGGGAGCTGGGGGAAGAAGGAGCCAGCCCTGTATTCTTGGCTGCACCCACCTACTGTTTAGCTTGTATCTCTCATAAAGCTTCTACCCATTAACCCATTGCTGTTGAGTCAACTCTGACTCATGGCAACCTCACGTATTACAGAGTAAAACAGCTCCATAAGGTTTCCTTTTTTTTAATTTGTTATTGTGCTTTAAGTGAAAGTTTACAGAGCAAATTAGTTTCTCATTTGATAGTTTGTAGATAAAGTGTTCCATGACATTGGTTGCATTCCCCTCAATGTGTCAGCACTCTCCCCATTTCCACCCTGGTTTCCCCATTTCCTTTCATCTGGATTTTCTACCCCTTCCTGCCTTCTCTCATCTTTGCTTTTGTCCTTTTGATCTTGTATAGTTGATTGTTCTAAGGAACACTTTCCGCTAGGGTGTTATTGTTTATTTTATGGGCCTGTCTATTGTTTGGTAGAAAGATGGTCTCCAGGAATGGCTTCAGTTCCAGTTCAGAAGGGTGTTTGTCTTAGGGCCATAGACTTGGGGGTACCTCCAGTCTCTGTTAGACCAATAAGTCTGGTCTTGTTTATGAATTTGATTTTTTGTTCTACATTTTTCTCTTGCTCTGTCTGGGACCCTTTGTTGTGATCTCAGTCAAAATGGTCAGTATTGGTAGCCAGGCACCATCTAGTTCTTTTAGTCTTGGGGTCATGTAGGCTGTGGTTCGTGTGGCCCATTAGTCTTTTGTAGCTCCATAGAGTTTTCAATGGCTCTCACTGTTCTTGCTGAGTTTTAGTAATTTTAGCAGATTTTCTTGAATAAATGTTTCTTCATTTCCTCTATGTCCTTAGGGCAATTTCTAGAGAATTTAAGTGGTTGGATTTTTTTTAATCTTTATAATTTTCACCAGTTATGCTTGCTTTGGAGCCTTGGTGGCGAAGTGGTTAAGAGCTATGGCTGCTAACCAAATGGTAGACAATTCAAATCCATCAGCCGCTCCTTGGAAACCCTATAGGACAGTTATACTCTGTCCTATAGGGTCGCTATGAGTCGCAATCAACTCGACAGCAAGCGGTTTTTGTTTTTTTTTCTTTTTTTCTGCTTGCTTCACTAGGGAGTACGTTCATAGAATTCCTCATACTACCATTCTGGAAGTGGAACCCCAAGGAAGCTTTTAATTCTACCAATCCCTATGCCTCACCTTAGAACTACCTAATCAGAATCTGGAGGAGTGAGGATGGGAAGATGAAAGGCAGAAATCTACATGGTTTTTAGAGCTCAATCCTCAAGTGATTGTGATGGACATACAGTTTTGAGAACCACTGGCCTAGAAGTCCAAGTGCGTTAGTTGAGCCTAAAGACTTCCAAGAAGATCAGAAGGAGAAAGGAAAGAAACTTGCATGGCTTGAAGGTTTACTGTGTCATAAGTACTGAATATCCATTATGTCATATTTTTTGTCATAGTGAAAATACACACAACATTCGAAAATTCAAAAATTTCTACATATATAATTCAATGACATTGATTACATTCTTCTTGTTGTGCAACCATTATGACTATCCTTTTCCAAATCATTCCATCACCACTAACATAAACACAATGCCCCCTAAGCAAAAAGTCTCCCTTTCCTTCTCTCTCTCATCCCTGGTGTCATGGTTTGAATTATGTCCCCCAAAAATGTGTGTATCAGTTTGGCTGGGCCATAATTCCCAGAATTGTGTGATTGGCCTCCATTTTGTGATTGTAATTTTATGTTAAAGAGGATTAGGGTGAGACTGTAACACCACCCTTACCCAGGTCACATCCCTGATCCAATGTAAAGGGAGTTCCCCTAGGGTGTGGCCTGCACCACCTTTTACCTTACAATAGATAAAAGGAAAGGGAAGCAAGCAGAGAATGGAGGACCTCATACCACCAAGAAGGGAGCACCGGGAGTAGAGCGCGTCCTTTGGACCCAAGATTCCTGCCCAGAGATGCTCCTAGTCTGGGGCAAGACTGATGATGACCAGGACCTTCCTCCAGAGCCGACAGAGAGAGAAAGCCTTCCTCTGGAGCTGACGCCCTGAATTTGGACTTCTAGCCTACTAGACTGTGAGAAAATAAATTCTCTTTGTGAAAGGCATCCACTTGTGGTATTTCTGATAGAGCAGTGCAAGATGACTAAGGCACCTGGTAACCACTTATAATCTTTGGTTTCCATATATTTGCTTATTTCATATAAGTGAAATCATACAGTGTTTGTCTTTTTGTGACTGACTTATTTCACTCAGCATAATATTTTCAAGGTTCATGCATGCTGTGGCTTGCATCAGAACTTCACTTCTCTTGATGGGTGTAGAATATTCCATTGTATGTGTACGCCACTTTTTGTTTATCCAGTCATCTTGTTATTTATGGTTAGGAGCTTGGCTGCTAACCAAAATGTCGGCAGTTCAGATCTACCAGCTGCTTCTTGGAAACCCTATAGGGCAGTTCTACTCTGTCCTACAGGGTCACTATGAGTCGGAATCAATTCAACGGCAACGGATTTGGTTTTTTGGTTTTTATACCTTTGGAGGAGCCCTGGTGGCACAATGGTTAAGAGCTCAAACTGCTAACCAAAAGGTTGGCAATTCAAATCCACCAGCTGCTCCTTGGAAATCCTATGAGGCAGTTCTACTCTGTCCTATAGGGTCGCTATGAGTCAGAATCCACTTGACGACAACGAGTTTGGGGTTTTTTTTTGGATTTTATGCCTGTGGATGTAATTCCATTTGGAAATGGGGTTTTCTTTGTTATGTTAATGAGGCCATCAATGTAGAGTGTGTCCAAGGAGCGGCTGGTGAATTTGAACTGCTGACCTTTTGGTTAGCAGCTGTAGCTCCTATCCACTGTGCCACCAGAGCTCCGAAATACAAACCAAACCCATTACCATCGAGTTGATTCCAACTCATAGCGACCTTATAACATTTACTAAATATTTTGAAAGCCATCTTACTTGTAAGACGAGAAAAACTGAGTGTCGAAGAGATAAAACTATTTCCCCAAAGTCGGTAACTAGTGAGAAGGGCCAAGATTTAAACTCTGGTCTTCATTGAGCTAAACCCTTGCTGTCATAGAAGTCTACAGTCTAGTACCTGAGACATGTCCTCTAAAGTCTCCTGTTCTCGGTAACCCCAAGATTTCCTCAGGATTAGTGATCCTGTAAGAAGAAAGCCATGGCGTCCTTAGAGGAAATTTCTGATATGCCAGATGAAGAGCTTTCCAGAAAATACAAACCTTCCAATCTTAAGGAGATTCGGACCGCCAAGACTCAAAACTCCTTTGCTGAGACTAAAAAAACTGAGAACATCTTGATCCAGGTTGCCTTCTCTGTTGGGCTAGGCAGCATCTGGCGTTTCCCTTACATGTGTCATCGGAATGGAGGAGGTAAGGCCAGGGGCTTGGATTCTGTGTTTTAACGAAGGAGTTTCTTTAAGGCTGGGAGCTTGGACTCCTGGGTCCTAGGGGAGGAGAGAATTGGAAGCTTGAACTCCTGGATCTGAAAGTAAAAGGAGCTGGGGGCCTCGACTCCTGAGTTCTGGAGGAGGAGGGGGCTTGGGGTCCAGACTCCTTGGTTTGAGGGTGGAAAGAGCTGGGGGCTGGATTAATAGGTCTGAAGGTTGAGGGGGCTGGGCACCCAGACTCCTAGGAGATAAGGGGGAGAGGGACCGGGACACTTCTGTGCCTAAGCACAGCCCCTGGCTCCCTTCCTCAGGCAGCTTTATCCTGATGTATTTCTTCATGCTCCTCCTGGTCGGGACTCCACTCTTGTACATGGAGATGGTCATGGGGCAATGGCTGCGTGTGGACAACATCCGGGTCTGGAAGCAGCTCGTCCCCTGGCTGGGCGGCGTGGGCTACACTAGCATGCTGGTGAATGAGGGGCCCAGCCAAGAGCCATCCCAGCTCACCCCTTGTGGTCTCCAGGTCCCCTGTCTTCACCCACCCTGCTCCTCAAGCCCACTGTGTCCACCCCCAGGTGTGCTTCTTGGTTAGCCTGTGTAACAGTGTCATCATCTCCTGGAGCCTCTCCTACCTGGGCCACTCCTTCCATCACTCCCTACCCTGGAACCAGTGTCCACTGGTGAAGAGCTCCAATGAAACTGGTGAGGAGGGGGAGAGAGGGCCAGCAGGGCCAAGGGAGGCAGAGGCACTAAGGAGAAGGAGATGGGAAGGGAAAGCAAGGGCTGGCCTCAGTGAGGTGATGCCTAAGTCCCTGGATCCCCCCAGACTTCTCCTGCCTTCAGACTGTGCCCTACCAGTACTTCTGGTACAACACTGCCCTGCACGCATCAGGCAACATTGAGGAAGGGGTTGAGGCCCTCGTTCTGAACCTCACCCTGTGCATCTTCGCAGCCTGGTTACTCCTCTTCTTAATCATGATCTCAGAGCTAAAGATTTCAGTGTCGGTAAGCCACCTTGTCTGCTGACCCCACACCCACTTCCCCTTTGAAAATCCAAAGATCCCTAGACTCCCTGCCCCCATGCCATCCATACTATCCAAGTCCTTGCCAGTGGATTGCTCTTCTCCAGTTCCTATAACCGTCCACTTCCCACACTCTCACACCCACCCAGAGGACAATGTCAGATGTGGCCACCCAGCATGTCCATCATGGATCCTGACAAAGATGGTGTACTCTTCTCAGGCACCCATGTCAACCGCCCCTCTCTTGCAAAGAACTGCCATTCTCCCATCCATGACATGAATGAGTGCCTCTTATTAATCCAACTCCTTCGCCATCCCTCAACCCCAAGTCACTGCATGCAGAGAGCTATGGGCAGCCTTTTAAATCAGATCACTGCCCCTCACCCCTAGCCCTGTATCCTCCTTATTCTTGCATTTTGAACAGTGCACGATACCCCCAAAGGAGCTGATTGGCATCAGTTCTTTTACAGAGTTTCCAATTTGGAACATTTTATTCCAAGTCATCCTTCCAATCTGTTCCCTGGCACCTGAGCCATATTCCCCTTACATGGAAATTTTATTTCAGCATATTTATCAGATCCTCCAAATCATTTTGGTTAACTCTACCTGCATCTTCTGACCTCTGCATCTATGTCAACTTTCACCTCATGCGTCCGTGAAAACTCAACTCACCATCTCTTCACAGTCTCCCAAATAATCCACTTATAGTAAAGATTTAGTAGGGGCATACTGAGAGAAAGGACTTACCTCACTTACCCCAGAGCCAAAAACATTAAAATTCCTATGAATCATGTTACTTTCTCCCAAAGTCTCAGTTTTGTTCCTCCCCTTCACCTACAAAGTTGTTTCATACAGCCTTCAGCCTTACTGGCTACTTTCCTCTTTGCAGTTTCTCACACATAGGCCGTAAAAACAAGGCCCATCAATTAACAATGTCCAACTGCCCCACATTTAAAGGCCATTTTTACTTGAAGTCTCACCCCCCATCCCTAAGAAGCTTATTGAGAGATATTTTCCCAAACAACAGTGTTCTCTCCCTCAAATAATCCTACCATAGCTCCCTTTTGTTACCTCTGGGCCACTCCAACACCGATCACCTCCCATCTTTCTATTCTTGCTGACTTGTAGTCCCCTGCGAATGCTTGCCTCTGTCCTTACCTCCTTCCCACTTCTCCTGACTTCTGGTTTATATCCTGACCTGCCTGGCTAGATGCTGATTTTCTCGGTATTCCTCCCCTACATCATCCTCTTCTGCCTCCTCATCCGAAGTCTCTTCCTGGAAGGTGCAAGTGTCAGCCTCAAACGTGTGGTGACCACAGAGGTGAGGCCGGAAACTCCAAACCCTCTCCCTCCTTCAACTCCCAAGGCTTCCTCTGAGTCTCCTTCCCCGACATCTTCTTTTCTTCTCCTGCACCAGCCTATCCCTTGTCCTTCTCCTCTCTACCCCAGCCTGCCCCTCTCCCAGACCACTGGTGGTTCCACCCTCTGAGCCCATACCCCAAATCTCACTCACTCCCATCTACAGCTCTCTGCCTTTGCCTCGCTGGACCTATGGCGTCAAGCAGGAGGCCATGTGCTCTATTCCCTGAGTTTGGGCATGGGGACCGTCATCACCTTCTCCTCCTACAAGGCTCAAGGCAACGTCCAAGACTATTTCCAGGTGGCCTTCATGGTAATCCTGGTCAACCTGTTGACCTCACTGCTGTCCACAGCCGTCGTGTTTCTAGTGCTTGGGTTCTGGGCCACCACCAGTGGTCCCGCCTGTATTGAGAAGTGAGTAAGCACAACCTTGCAAGTCCAAACAAAAGCCCCCCTCTGTCTACCTTAGCAATATCCCAGCTTCATGGGCCTTCAAACTGAGGGCCTCTCCATTAATAATTATAATGTCACATTTATTCTCAGAGAAAACAGCTTAAAGGGGAATACTCCTTAATATCCACCACTTCATGGATAAGAAAATAGTCTCATAGAAGTGACTGTGCTAAGATTTCCATAAATTGCAAATGGAGTAAAAAAAAATCTTGTAATCAATTATTTAACTCACAGATGAGAAGAAACCAGCCAAGCATTTAATAACAGAATGGGCTGGCAGTAGCTATTGGAATCTCGAAGAGCCCCAAACATACAAATAAATCACTTGGTCCAACAATTCTCCTCACCTCATCCCCAGGAATTTTGCCAAGGAAGTGTCAAGGCCATCAAGCAAGCAGAGGAACTGTGCATAGTCTTATGGTGCTCAGATTTATAGGCCCAGCTGGAATAGAATCCAAAAATGAACCAAAACCATCTAGAGCTACAACCAGACTCTCTCCAACTTAAATAATGACAACTTCAGAGGAATTAGAGGTACAGAACATACACAAGTTGGGAGTTTTGCTCAAGGGTAAAGTGAGCTCGCCTTAATCCCATTTGAAGGCAAAGAAAAACTCATCTAATTAAAACTTACCCCATATCTAGCTCAACTCAAGTCTTAAGAGGAATTTAAACAATAGCGCCTCATCCTAACTGCTTGTTGCAATAAAAGGCTTGAACTTACTGGGACTGAACAAAATAAAACAAATAATATACTTCAGTCTCCTTTGCTCTTCTATACACAATGTCCAGAACAAAATAAAAAATCATAAAACATTCCAAAAAAATAGGAAAATATGACCCATAGTCAAGAGAAAAAAAAGAAGATCCACAGATTGCCCAGACATTAGAACTAGAAGACAAGAACTTTAAAGCAACCATTATAACTAAGTTAAATAATTTAATATAAAAGGTTAATAAAATATGTGAAGGTAATGAGGTATATTAGAAGAGATATGGAACTGTAAAAGAAAGCATAATGGAATGCTGAAACTGAAAAAGTAGATAAAATGAAAGTTTCACTGGATGGGTTTAATGTGAATTGGAGACAGCAGGAGAATCAGTTAACTTGAAGACAGCTGATTAGAAGTTACACAAAGTGAAGCACACAGAGAAAAAAAGATTGAGAAAAACTAAACAAAGTATCAGTGACCTGTAAAACTAATATGCGTATAATTGGAGTCACAGAAGGAGAGAGACGATTGGGGCAGAAAATTTTTAATACATAGTGGACAGTTTTTTTTCCAAACTGAATGAAAATCATCAACCCACAGATCCTAGAATCTCAAAAACTCCCAAGAGCTGGCAGGGTACACAACAGAGAATCCCCGATGGAACGGGACAAAAGTGTGGAGCAAAACACAAATTCATGTAAAAAGGCTAGACTTAATGGTCTGACTGAGACTGGAGGAACCCCGAAACTGTGGACCCCAGAACTGAAACCATTCTCGAAGCCCACTCTTCAGACAAAGATTAGGCAGGACTATAAAACAAAAAATAATACATACGAGGAATGTGCTTCTTAGTTCAATCAGATACATGAAACCAAATGGGCAGCTCCTGTCTGGAGGCAGGATGAGAAGGCAGGAAGGAACAGGAATTGGTCAAATGGACACTGGGAACCCAGAATGGTAAGGGGGAATGTGTGTCATGTTGTGGGGATTATAATTAATGTCACAAAACAATATGTATATAAATTTTTGAATGAGAAATTAACTTGAGCTGTAAACTTTCACATAAAGCACAATTGAAAAAGAAAGAAACAAAGAAAAAAAAATCCCAAGAGGATAAATATAAAGACAATCACACCTTGGCACATCATAATCAAATTTCTGAAATCCAAAGATAAATAGAAAATGTTTAATGAGGAAAAAGAAGAAGTACATTACATACAGTGGAATAATGATAAGATGATGACTGACATCTCATCAGAAACAATGGAAGTCAGAAGACAATGGAATGAAATCTTTTAGCATGCTGAAGGAAAAGATTTGTCAACATAGAGTTCCATGTTGTTATTGTTAGGTGCTGTCGACTTGGTTCCAACTCACAGTGACCCTCTATAGAACAAAACGAACCACTACCCAATTCTGCATCATCCTCACAATTGTTGCTATGTTTGAGCCCCTTGTTGCAGCCACTGTGTCAACCCATCTCATCAAGGGTCTTCCTCTCTTTTGCTGACCCTCCACTTTACCCATTATTTGCAGTGTTTCCATAATTTGTTATGATCCACACAGTTGAATGCCTTAGCATAGACAATAAAACCCAGGCAGACATCTTTCTGGTATTCTCTGCTTTCAGCCAAGATCAATCTGACATCAGCAATGATATCCCTTATTCCACATCCTCTTCTGAATCCAGCTTGGATTTCTGGCAGTTCCCTGTTTATGTACTGGTATAACCATTTTTTAATTATCTTCAGCAAAATTTTACTTTTGTGTGATATTAATGATATTGTTCAATAATTTCCGCATTCTGTTGGATCACCTTTCTTTGCAATGGATACAAATATGGATCTCTTCCAGTTGGCTGGCCAAATTTTTTAGCATAGATGGGTGAATGTTTCCAGCATTGCATCCCTTTGTGGAAACATCTTAACTGGTATTCTGTCAATTCCTGAAGCCTTGTTTTTTGCCAATGTCTTCAGTGCAGCTTGGACTTCTTCCTTCAATACGATTGGTTCTTGATCATATGCTACCTCCTGAAATGGCTGAACATCTACCAATTCTTTTTGGTACAGTGACTCTGTGTATTACTTCCATCTTCTTTTGATGCTTTCTGGGTCATTCAGTATTTTGTCCATAGGATCATTCAAAATTGCAACTTGAGGCTTGAACTTTTTCTTCAGTTCTTTCAGCTTGAGAAATGCTGAGTGTGTTCTTCCTTTTGGTTTTCTAACTCCATGTCTTTGCATATTTCATTATAATACTCTGTCTTCTTTAGTGTTGTCTTAGTCATCTAGTACTGCTCTAACAGAAACACCACAAGTGAATGGTTTTAACGAAGAGAAGTTTATTTCCTCACAGTCAAAGTAGGCTAAAAGTCCAAATTCAAGGTTACAGCTCCAGGGGAAGGCTTCCTCTCTCTCGGCCTTCCCATCAGTGTTCCCCCAAACTAAGAGCTTCCAAAGGACGCGCTCTGCTCCCGGCACTGCTTTCTTGATGGTATGAGGTCCCCAACTCTCTGCTTACTTCCCTTTCCTTTTATCTCCTAAGAGATAAAAGGTGGTGCAGGCCACACCCCAGGGAAACTCCCTTTACATTGGATCAGGGATGTGACCTGGGTAAAGGTGGTGTTACAATCCCACCCTATTCCTCTTTAACAAAAAATTACAATTACAAAATGGAGGCCAACCACACAATTCTGGGAATCATGGCTCAGACAAATTGATACACACATTTTTGGGGGGACATAATTCAAACCATGACAAACGTCCTTTGAAATCTTCTGTTCATATCTTTTACTTAATCATTTCTTACATTCATTTTAGCTACTCTACATTCAAAAGCAAGTTTCAGAGTTTTTCCTGACATCTATTTTGGTCTTCTCTTTCTTCCCTGTCTTTTAATGATCTTTTACTTTCTTCATTTATGATGTCCTTGATGTCATTCCACAACTCTTCTAGTCTTCGGTCATTAGTGTTCAATGCGTCAAGTCTATTTTTGAGATGGTCTCCAAATTCAGATGGGATATACTCAAGATCATATTTTGACTCTTGTGGACTTGTTTTAATTTTTTTCAGCTTCAACTTGAACTAGCATATGAGCAATTGATGGTTTGTTCTGCAGTCTGCCCCTGGCCTTGTTTGATGATGTTGAGCTTTTCCATCATCTCTTTCCACAGATGTAATCGATTTGATTCCTGTGTTTTCCATCTGGTGAAATCTACATGTGCAGTCACCACTTATGTTGTTGAAAAAAGGTATTTGTGATGAAGAAGTTGTTGGTATTGCAAAATTCTATCATGTGATCTCTGACGTCATTTCTTTCACCAAGGCTATATTTTCCAACTACTAATCACTCTTTTTTGTTTCCAACTTTCACATTCCAATCACTAGTAATTATTAATGCATCTTGATTTCGTGTATGATCAATTTCAGACTGCGGAAATTTGTAAAAATATCAATTTTCTCATCTTTGAAATTAATGGTTGGTGTGTAAATTTGAATAATAGTCATAATAACTGATCTTCCTTGTAGGCATATGGATAGTATCCTGTCACTGACAACGTTGTACTTCAGGATAGATCTTGAAATGTTCTTTTTGATGATGAATGGGATGGCATTCCTCTTCAATTTGTCATTCCCAGTGTAGTAGATCATATGATTGTCTGATTCAAAATGGTCAATACCAATCCATTTCAGCTCACTAATGCCTAGGATATCAATCTTTCTGTGTTCCATTTCTTTTTGTGTGTGTGTGCTTTAAGTGAAAGTTTACAGCTCAAGTTATTAATTTCTCATACAAAAATTTATACACGTACTGTTATGTGACACTAGTTGCAATCCCTTTAATGTGACAGTATACTCCCCCTTTCCACCCCAGGTTTCCTGTGTCCATCCAACCAGTTCCTGTCCCTTCCTACCTTTTTATCCTGCCTCTGGACAGGAGCTGCCATTATGGTCCCATGTATCTGCTTGAACTAAGAAGAGCACTCTTCACAAGTATTATGTTATGTTTTATAGTCCAGTCTCATCTTTGTCTGAAGAGTGGGCTTCAGGAATGATTTCAGTTCTGGGTCAACAGATCATCCAGGGGCCATAGTTTTGGGTGTTCCTCCAGTCTCTGTCAGACCATTAAGTCTGGTCTTTTTACATGAATTTGAGTTCTACTGCACAGTTCTCTCCCACGCTATCAGGGCCTCTCTGTGGTGTTCCCTGTCAGGGTGGTCAATAGCAAGGCATCATCTAGTTCTTCTGGTCTCAGGCTGATTGAGTTTCTGATTTATGTGGCCCTTTTGTCTCTTGGGCTAGTATTTTCCTTGTGTCTTTGGTGTTCTTCATTCTCCTTTACTCCAAGTGGGTTGGGACCAATTGATGCATCTTACATTGCCGCTTGCAAGCTTTTAAGACACCAAACACCACTCATCAAAGTGGGATGCAGAACATTTTTTAATAAACTTTGTTATACCAATTGACCTAGATGTCCCCTGAAATCCATTTTTAATGACTTCCAATTTTCCTAGATTCATACTTCATACATTTCAATTATTAATGGAATTTTGCAGCCATTTCTTCTCATTTTGAGTTGTTTCACATCAGCAAATGAAGTTCCTGAACGCTTTACTCCATCCGCATCATTAAGGTGGACTCTACTTTGAGGAGACAGCTCTTCCCAGTCATATTTTAAGTGCCTCCCAACCTGAGAGACACATCTTCCAGCACTTTATCAGACAGTGTTCCACTGCTATTCATAAGGTTTTCTCTGGCCAGTTTTTTCAGAAGTAGACCACCAGGTTCTTCTTCCTAGTCTGTCTTAGCCTGGAAGCTCAGCTGAAACCTGTCCACCGTGGGTGATCCTGCTGGTATTCAAAATACTAGCGGCAAAGCTCCCAGTATCACAGCAACACCCAAGCCACCACAGTATGACAAACTGACAGATGCATACTGGAGATTTCCATATTCAGGAAAAATATCCTTAAACAATTAAAATGAAAGAAAGACATTTCCAGATAAAATAGATAATTCACCACCAGTAAATCTGTACCAAAAGAAATACTAAAGGAAATTCTTGAGACTAACGAGAAATACTTGATTTTTATTTAGATTTCACAAAAATGCACAGTTGAAAAGTAGTTTCACATACCCAAGTTGTTGCAAACATACTTAGAAGTTTCCAATAACTTAATAACTTATCCCTTTAAATTTTAAATTAATTAAAACAAATACAATTTTAAAATCCAGTTCCTCAATCATATTAGTCATATTGCAAGAAATCAGTAGCCACATGATGCTGATGGCTACTGTGTTAAACAGCACAGCTCTAATCACCAAAAACAAAGACGTACCTAAAAAGACAATAGAGAAGATAAAATGGAAACAAAGAAAAATTATTTAATATAAAAAAGGGGACAGAAAAAAGAGGAACATGGAATAGATGAGACAAAAAAAAAAAAAAAAGCAAGAGAGTAAGCATAAATTCAACCATATCAATAAGTACATTAAATAAACACTCTCCCTTAAAAGGCAGAGATCGTCAGACTAGATTTTTTTTTTAATACAATAAATACCCAACTATATTCTGTTTGCAACAGAAGTCCTTTATAATGACACAGATAGGTTTAAAGTAAGAGAATGGAAAACAACATACCATGCAAATGACTAATTATAAGAACGCTGGTGTGGCTACATAATATCAAATAAAGTCAAAACTTTATTTTTATTTTTATCCTTTCCACTACAAGACAAGTAGTGATACCAGATATTAAGAAGAACATTTCATAATGACAAAAGGGTCAATTTAGCAGAAATACTGAATTGTCTAAATGTTTATGCACCTAATAGAGTTTCAAAATAGATATAATTTTTTTTTAGATAAACGTGAAATCATAGTTGGAAGTTTGAAACGAAAGATTATTAGTGGTTACCAAGAGTGGGAGGGAAAGGGAAAGAGGGGGAGTTTTTGCTTATGTTAATGGTGGTGGAATGATTGGAAAAGGATAGTGAGAATGTTTGCACAGTTTGAAGAATGTGATAGATGTCACTGAATTGTACATGTAGAAATTGTTGAGATAGTGTAAGTTTTGTTATATATATTTTCACCACAACAATTTTTTAAAAACACAACTGAGAATCTGGCAACATTTAGTTAGATTAAGTAAATGTTTATGCTTTATTGTCCAGTGACCCCTTTCCCAAGTGTATATCCTAAAGAAATTCTCAAATAAACCCTGTAAATGGCTGGTCATCATGGCGATGTTTGCGATCACAGGGGTGGAGTCCTTAACTGGGGAATCAAATATAAAATGTAGTAAATGTATACTATGGGATACAGTGCAGAAGCTAGGAGATATCACCAAAAAATGGAGTGAAAAAAAAGCAATAAACAGAAAACTATTTATTGTACAATATTACTTCAGCAAATTAATGACACACACACAAAAAATAACATTACATTTTTTTTCACAAAGAAACACCCATAATTAAGGCCATCCATCAAATATACGAGAGTGGGTAGCTGTAGAAATTGGAGAAAGAATGAAATTCAGAGATGAAGGAGGACAAACTTAAATTAAATTAAACAAGACTTTGCCCTGCCAGTTGAGAAAAAATGTATTCACTTCACACCTGAGGAGAGAGAAAATGTTGAGGAACACCAGCTATTACAAATATAAAATCCTGGGACCTTTAGATAGAGTCCCCACTGTGACTCATCCCAAGTCCATTTGATTATCTTCCGGTCACTGCCCAGGCGTCCTTGCTACTCAACTGGAGGCATTTCAGGCAAATCACTTACCTCTCCAGTCCTTGGTTTCCCTGGTTTGCAGACAGCAGAGGGTCCTACTTCTTCTCCATCAGCCTTCTCTTCTTCTACTTCCTTTTCAGGAGCATCTCAAACCTAATGAATCTGATATCCGAGGGGGTGCTGCCTCAAGATGCCAGACCCCCAAAAAACATCCTGCTCCTGCAAAGTCTAGACTACCTAGACTGGATCAGCAACATCCCCCAAAACCTCCAGTACCAGATCATCCAGCTTACCCCTTCCTGCAGCATCAAGACACAGAAGGAAAAGGTATGTTTGTGAGGGTGACAAAGGTGCTTCCCATAGGCCCCAGAAGGCGTTGGGAAATGTATTTTCAAGCAGCCTTGTGGACCACGTAAGCATCTTCTGAAGCTGGTAACAGTCATGATCATGTTCCCCCCATAATTTCCTAAGTGCTGGGTTGTTGCTAAGTTTTGCTCTACATCAATTCTCACATAAACTGAGGTCCCTGTTTGTTAGAGGAGGAAACTGAAGCCCCAAAATGTAAAGCTCACTTAGTGAGTAAAACCAAGGAGAGCAAACAACCAACTGCTCTGCTCTTCTGCCCGAGATAGACATTGCTAATCAATCACAGCACCATTTCCCCAGCCCACCTCCATCCAGACATGCCACTGCCTCAGAGCCCTTCTCCCCCACAGTTTATGGAGGGACCTGGCCTGGTATTCGTGGCCTTTTCTCAAGTCATCTCGTTGTTCCCTGGCGCCCCTTTCTGGGCCATCATCTTCTTCCTGGCTCTGCTCATCACGGGGCTGGGCACCTTGATAAGAATCTTGGAAGGCGTTGCCCTTCCCCTCCAGAATGCCATTCCCGTCTTCAGAAAGCATCCCAAACTGCTGTCAGGTACCATGGACTCTGTTTCCAGCCAAAATCCTGCCCTGCCACACCCACTCCCTTCCCAGCCTGCCCCCAATCTCCTGGGCTCACTTCAACCCCTGGCCCAACCCTACACGTGGACCTCATTGTGGCTAACCCTGCCTCTGACTTAGTGGTCATCTGCTTGGGAGGTCTTCTGGGCAGCCTGGTCTTTGCCAGCCGCGCTGGCAGCTACATCATGTCTTTGTTTGATGAACACCTGGTCTCGCTGGTCCTTATCATCGTTGTGACCTTCCAGAATGTGGCACTGGCCTGGATCTATGGAGCCAGCAGGTGATTTCCAAGCCCCGGGGACTGCCCAGATGGAAACCCCATCTCAAGTTGATGAGGAGGGCTGGGATTTGACCTTCTCCCTCTGTCCACTCCTCAGCAGAGAGGTCCATCTGGGAGCTGCTGGAATGTAGGAAGGAGCAATCAGAGGGCAGCATTGTGGCTCCCAGGAAGCCAGCAGTCGGGACCTGGGGAACTCTGGTTCCCCTGGCAATGGCCACATGGGCTAGTCTGATGGCAGAGAGCCGGGGCAGTGTAATGGCAGATGGGGGACCACATCCTGGATCAGAGGATCCCATGGAGGAGACTAGATGAAGGCCTGGTAGACCCTAGCAATCCCTAAGAGTTGGAAACTCATAAGAAAACCAAGGGACTTGGGCAAAAGGTTGGCGGGTCCCACCTCCCAAGGACTCCAGGCGCTTGTGACTAGAGGAGGGCTCCTTCACAGACATCCTTTCCCATTGCCCCAACCCCAGGTTCCGGGAAGAAATGTTCATTGAGCTGGGCCGCCTGGTATGGTCCATCTTCACCTTCCTGTGGTGCTATGTGACCCTGCCAGGGCTGCTGGCCCTCCTTACCATCTGCTTCATGCAGCTGTACCAGAAGGCACCCCCCTACTACATCGCCTGGAATGCCAGTGGGGTGAGAGCCCCCCACCTTGGCTTCTCAACCCCTGATTAGATCTCCCACCCTACAGAACCCCGGGTCTGGGCCCCTACCACCCCAAGGAACCCTTCACCAGCTTCCCATTGCCTGGGGAACCTGATATCCAGCATCACATGGATTGAACCCCTCTCACTGTCTCTTCCTGTCACCCTGCCTTCCCCCTCTCTCTGCCCCCAGAGCCAAGAGGTCAAACTGCCCTACCTGCCAAGCTCCTTGAACTGGCTTACTTTAATTCTCATCTTCATTCTCCTACCAATCCCGGCCCTCCCACTCCACCACTGGTGGAACCTCCAGGACCCCACTCCCTCTGATCCCATTGAAAAGACACTGCCCTTCAAAAAGGTGTCCCTCAAACCCTTGCCATGGCAAACACAGCCCATGGGGAATGCCACCGTCACACCCCAGGACACAGTCAGCGAGGACTCATCAATGGAGCCTAACCTGGACTCTTTATGGCAGTTCAACTTCCCCCAGTCCAGGAACAGCCTGGTGTCTTCCTGGTTCAGCCTGCCTCTGGCTGCCTCTCAGCTATCCGTACTCTCCATAAGAAGTGTCAGTCCATCCCTCTCGAGGCAAGTTAGCCCAGCCAACAAGGCCGTGGACAACAGTAACCTGCACAGGGAGGCCACGGAAGGAAATCTGCACAGTAAATCTGCTAAGTAACCGGTGACATTACCCATTTTTTCCAAGACAGCATATCTGTCCAATTACCGGTGGCATCCGTGCCCATTTTGCTACAGGAATAATTGGTTCTGCCAGAAAGGAGGAGGAGGGGCACATGGAAAATCTGCCTGGAAACTGCTAACATCACTCATTTGGCCTAGGAAGGAAATGTTCAACTGGGGAGCTCTTTCCTACCCTAGACTACTACCACTTCTACTAAGAGGAACACTCTGCTCTGGGACTGGAGAACTCAGAAGGAATCAACTCAACCTCTCATGGGGCTGGACCTAGGGGCCCTTTTTTCCAAGTCAAGAGGGAGCACCCTTTTGGCCTGGTGGGAATGGGTCTCGCAGCTGTTTCCAGGACCCAACTACCCCATTTATCATGGAGATCAAGGTGTTCTCTTCAACCCGCAGCCACCACCCCTCACCACCAAACTGGGTCAGTGTTGCCACTACCTTCTCCAGGGCTGCCCTCTTAGAATAAGGCTGGAACAACAATGCTGTTGGTAAATAAATGAGTCCACTGGGACCCCAAAGCACAGGCTCCGGGCACAGCATCCTTTCTGTGAGGGGCCTAGATGTCAGCCTACACACACACACACATGCACACACACACCCTCCAAATCGCCAATCTCTGGCGAACCAAGTGTCCAACCTGGTGACCCCAAGCTTCCTCTGCCTTTATTGTCGTTGTTAGTTGCTGTCAAGTCAGCTCCAACTCATGGCAACCTTACGTATAACAGAATGCAACACTGCCATGTCGTGCACCATCCTCACAATCGTTTGAACCCATTGTTGCAGCCATCATGTCAGTCCATCTCATGGAGAGTATCCTTCATTTTTGATGACCATCTACTTTACCAAACAAGATGTCCTTTCCTAGCAGTTTGTGTGTCCTGATGACATGTCCGAAGTAAGTGAGTGGAAGTCTCACCATCCTCACCTCTAATGAGCAAGATACCAATATTGAGTTTCCAGACCACTCCTCATCCTGAGATTGAGCCAAACTGTATGGGGGGAAACTGGCAATCAGTGTCACTCAATCTAGAAAGTACATTAACTGCCAAGTCTACTTGGTAATTGGTGACTACACTAAATGCACCATAGGGCTAAACCTGCCCCATAATTATCATTTCAACATTACCAAGAGGGTGAGGGGCATTGGTAGGTCTCTCGCGTGGAAGGTGAGAATTCTACCATTGAACCACCAGTGCCCCCCAACAAGAGCTTAGGAACAGTTAATAAACCCATTGCCATCGAGTCAATTCCGACTTATGGAGACCCCATATGTTACAGAGGAGAACTGAGCTCCATAGGGTTTACTTGACTGTAATCTTTACCGAAGCAGACTGACAGGCCTTTCTTCCATGGCGTGGCTGGGTGGGTGGATTTGAACCACCAAACTTTTGGTTAATAGTCGAGCAGAAACCATTTGCACCACCCAGGGATGTTGTTGTAAGGTGCCATCGAGTCGATTCCAATTCATAACGACCCTATAGGACAGAGTAGAACTGTCCCATAGGGTTTCCTAGGCTGTAATATTTACAGGAGCAGATTGCCAGGTCTTTTATCCCACGGACTGGTGGGTTGGAACTGCTGACCTTTTAGTTAGCAGCTGAGCCCTTAACCACTGTGCCACCAGGGCTCCTTCCTAGGGACATTAAAAAAAAAATCCATTGCTGTCAAGTCGATTCCAACTCATACCAACCCTACAGGACAGAGTAGAACTGCCCCCTAGGGTTTCCAAGAAGTGGCTGGTGGATTCGAACTGCCAACTTTTTGGTTAGCAGCTGATCTTTTAACCACTGCGCCATCAGGGCTCCTTTTAAAAAGGGGTGTACTTGATGGTTTCATCATCCAGGTGGCGCTGCTGTACTGGGAAATGCCTCTCTGAGTACCTCAGCAGTCATTAAGTCTTTAAAGCTGTAATTTCCCTTTCTCCTGAGATTCTATATAGTTTCTGGAGACTAACATGGGGAGGACAGCTCATGTGACAGTCCCTGACTGGGAAAAATGCCCTCTGATAGTTATGGGGCATTCACAGTATGAGCATGTAAAATAATGTCTTAGTCATCTAGTGCTGCCACAAAAGAAATACCACAAGTGGATAGGTTCAACAAAGAGAAGTCTATAGTCTCACAGTCTAGCAGGCTAGAAGTCCGAATTCAGACTGCCAACTCCAGGGGAAGGCCCTCTCTCTCTGTCGGCTCCAGAGCAAGGTGCCCATCATCTATCTTCTTCTGGTCTAGGAGCCTCTCTTCAAAGGAACCCCAGGGTCCAAAGGATGTTCTCCTCTCCCAGAGCTGCTCTCCTGGAGGTATGCGGTCCCCTGTCTCTCCACTAGCCACTCTTCCTTATATCTCAAAAGAAATTGACTTAAGACACAACCCAATCTTGTAGATTGAGTCCTACCTCATTAGCATAACTGCCTCTAATCTCGCCTTATCAACATCATAGAGATAGGATTTACAACACATAGGAAAATCACTTCAGATGACAAAATGGTGGACAATCACACGATACTGGGAATTATGGCCCAGCTAAGTTGACGCACATTTTGAGGGGACACAATTCAATCTGTAACAAATATCAATACCAATTATACATTCAGTAGTGGAAACCACAACAGTACATTGCATTGGCCCAAAGGGCCTTACCACACAAAGACACTTCAGCTTCCCTTCCCCATCATGAGCCTTGCCCAAAACATCCATAGAATTCAGGTGTTTTTTTCTTCTCTTGGGAACATGGACCAAGAAGTTTAACACGTGTGAGTCAGAAACTACAGCATCAGCCACTAGCCACACTATCCTCCAGCCAGAGGACCAGGAGGGAACGGTAGTGGAGGAGACTTGCCTGAAGGGACAGCTAGGGCAAGAAGGAAACTTAATTGTTGGGCTTTTATTCCCCCTTGACTCTTTGATCCAGGATCAGTGCCCAAGAGCTGGTGCTGCTTCATCCCCCATGTACCTCCCAGAGTCCATCAAATGCTTGGACAAGGGGATTCCTTTCTCTCTGCCCTACACACACCTCCGTGCACTTCCCCCCTCCCCCAGTCTTTAAAACTTTTGACCACCCCTGCACCCTGCTGTGAGGCTGTGGCAAGAACCAGAAACACTACTTAGGTGGGTTCCACAATATTAGGCAAACTTTGCCTTCACTTTCACTTTTTGAGCAGCTGGTAGCAGCTCAGGCTCAACCAAACAAACTTCTAATGTTGTCAGTCCACCCAAAGCTCTATGCCAAATAGCAAGGTCCTTATTGCTAACACCATATCCAGGCATGGACCAGTAACTTGAAATTTGCCTCCAAAATTTGAGGGTGTGGAGAGACCATAGAAAGAGGCAGGCAACTCCAGTGTGGTGGTGCAGGAGTTTATTATTAGGGAGATTTACACACTGAGGCAGTAGCCCCCGGTGGCAGAAGGATCAAGACGATCCCAGCGGCAGGGAGTGGAGTTTTATAGTGGTCAAGGACAAAGTGGCTCCGAGCCAGAGAGTTACATAAGACTTCCTCAGCAAGGTCACATAACAGAGGCTTGGAAAAGATCAGTGAACTAACAGAAACAGCGGTGAGCTAACGGAAAGCATGAGGGCAGCCATGTTCAGCCCCGTAAGCCTGTTTTCCCCTTCAGTCCACTCCTCAAGGCCAGCTCTTACAATCCGACGTGTACCTCCTCTTCCGTAAAGTCCCTGAGGGCCCCGAGAGAAGGTATCACTGTAGGGACAGACAGTGGTGCTGTAACTGGAGGCATAGACCACACCAGCAGTATAGACAAATACAGCAGACAATTCCTATACCCAGGAAAAGACCAAAACGTATTAACACACCATGCCAACCAGAGGGCTGCCCAATCAGTTCTGGTCAGGGGCTCCACACTCCAAGGCATGGCTTCAGCACTTGAAAAGGGGAGTCGTCCACAGACCCAGCAGCTGCTTTTGTTGTGAACTACAGTAAAGCTGTGAACCCACTCTAGAAAGAGGTTGACAGCCCCGAAGGGGAGAAAGCAGAGTAAGCCATACCTACAGTCGGAAAGACAGGTGTTTAGTAGGTACCAAGAGGGGTAAATCTTCTCCTTCTATTAGGATCACACTAGTGGCTTCCCCTCGGATGGTGAGAACAGCAGCTGCTGTTAGGCATTTTTCCTCGCTAAGTGTACCATATGTGCTGGCCTGGGGAGGTCACCTGAGAGGTTGTGAGTAAAGTCACCCATTTTACTATATACCAGAAAAGGAGACGCACTTCTGTCCCTTGTGGTATAGCTGTCATTCCCTTCCATGAAAGTATGACTGCCAAGGCCCTCCATGCACGAGGATAGTGGTCTCCCACTCTAGGCCAATCATCTGGTGGGGTAACCCACAACAGATGCCAGTAGATGGTTCCACTTCCTGTCACCAGGTCCTGGGGTGTCCAGAGGACCGTGCTGTTTTGTTCTAGCAACAGCCTTGGTGGGTACACTTCTGGAGCCTGTGACATCACTCAGATCATTGCTGGAGAATTACTCGGGGCTCCTAGTCTGACATATGGGGCTAAAGCTCCAGTGGGAGCTGAATTTATCAACTCAAAGCCTCAGGCAGCACCTTGCTGCACTCCACCAGGGAAGCCTTGCCTGTTAGTGTTCATATTTGTTGTTTTAGAACACTGTTCTTCCTTTCCCCCGGGCTCCTGACCTGGGGGTTGTAGGGCAGGTGGTAATGCCACTGTACCTCATCCTCAGCTGCCCATTCATGCACATTGTGACCTTTAAAGTGTGTCGCGTGGTCACTGCCAACCCTTCAGGGTGTCCCGTACATAACACTCATTTTTTGTAATCCCTTTATTGTAGCAATCTGGTTTGCTTGTTTACACAGAAACGCCTTTGTCTCAAGCCGGTGACAGTGTCCACACAAACGAGAACATACTTCCCTCCTTCACTGGGGCATAGGGGCCTTATATAATCTACCTGCCAGTCTGTCACTGGCTGTGTTCCCTTATGTATCTTCCCAGAATAGTGTGGCA